GCTTCCCTTTAGGGGAAAAAATAAAAAAAAAGACCAGGGTGAGAAGTAAGAGAAAAGGAGGGACGTTTTCCTGTGAATTCCTGTGTAAAAATTCTCCTTCCCAGCTCAGGCTATTCCTTCCAAATCCAAGTAGCTGGCTTTCTAGCTGCAGTAGCTCCCAGGAAAGGGATGAAAATAGGAAGGGGAAAGAGGTATAGCTATGCTGAATAGATAACACCTTCTGTGGAACCAGATGGGACATGAGAAGAGTCGAATTCTACTTCCTAACCCTTGCTCTACACTCTTTTCCCACACGCTCAGTATCCATCATCTCTTTAGCACACAGCTTTTAGGCCATATCACATCATTATTCAGTGGAACAGCTGAAAACTCAACCCAAGAGTACTGTCACACAACCCTCTTTGCTACATTGCTGGGTAACATGGGAGTTCTTTGAGAATACCATATACGTTGGTATTTTCCACAGTAAAAAATAATTAAATGCTCTTTCCATATCTTTCCAACATCGAGCTTGATTCTAAATGACAACAGGAGACAGGAAAGTGGGAGAAGCAGAAACAGCACGTTGCAGACTGCTGTTTCAAGAATCCAGAGCCACCCACCCCACATGGAACCGCGTGCCCAAAGTTACAACAGAATCTGCTGATCCTAGATCAGCCTCATCAGCCATCTTCGGACCCACAGACAAAGCAATCATGGAAGACAATCATCCTTGACTAAGAGGGACTGCCAATATATAAATGACTTAACACTAGTGTTGTACCTCACAGAAAGCTATACCAATGAATAGCAGTTAACAATGCTTTGCCGTTACATTGAATTATGCTTTTAAACATGGAAAAGTCCTCTAATTTGTTTGCATGAAGCATCACAAATTGCGTAACTGTCTAGTGCTTATGCCTGTTGAGACTAGAACAGAGGGTCAGAAATAAGATAGATAATGATCATTTTCATACTGCAATAGTTGCCATATTAAATATGAAGGAAGGACAGCAGTATTGCTAAATATAAGAAAGACAATGTTAAAATAACGATCAGACTAGGACAGAAAATGGGAAAAGACAGGTAATTCAAAGTTACAGGTGATAGTCTGGATCTTTATTTACACTTTTAGCTCTGCTTCTGTTCCTGTTGACTTCAGTGAGATCATTACTAATCCCTTCTGAGAAAGGAGAGACCTAAATGGTTTTGCAGGCTTTTTTTTTTTGTTTGTGACACAGTCAGTACAAAAGGTACTTTAATGCCGCAATGCATTCCTGTTTGATACGAATGGATGCCAACAAGAAACAGCAGTATAATATGCATCAAGAATTGTGTGAGTTACATTTGTAATCAGTCAACTTTCCTTTCTGTTTATTTAGTTATTTATTTAAGGTAAAACACTCCTATTGTTCATTGGATAGGCTAAAATGAAAGGAAATCCTCCTCTAAGATATGGCACCTATTAATTCAGGAAAAGCCTAAAACGGTTCAATAGACAAATGCCAGTGCAATCCACCTCCAACAACAGTGTGCTTGTTTATTTCATTTTAAAACAGCTGACCCACGTTTACCTAACCAGCATTTATTTACAACTATTTTTCATGGCTGAAAGAAATGTTTAACATAAGAAATTGCAGAGTCTAAGGTGTATTTTTTTAAAAACTTTTTAAAGCCACTTTCTTCAAAGAGTAGGACCCTGCAGGTCATACTGCTAGAATGTCAATAATGCACTTCTTGGGTGGTTTGTTGAAATTAGTAGGCCTACAGCTTCATGCCTTCACTATACACTGAAGACGGATGTTAATATTAACATATTAACACATGTCTTGTCATTTGGCATTTCTTAATTGATTCTTACCCTGTTGCAGCTTCTATCAACTTAAAAGAACGTGATAGTTGCCTACACTATCTGCCTACACCGTGGGAACAGGAGCCGAGACCTGTCCTACTGTCCAGACAGAAGGTAGAACTTACAGCTCAGCCCCAGCCCTCTACCACCTCCGACCTCAATGAAGAGTTTGTCCAACCAAAGAATAACAGAACTGCAATCCCCAGGAACATAGTTTTCTTTCAGTTAAGGTACTTTTTCAAACCAGTATTTTTATAGCAAAGAGCATACACTGAATGAGTTCGCCTGCAAGACTGTCAGAAGCCTGTAAGAGTCGGTAAATATTTTCTCTCACCACATCAGGTGCCTTCTGGATCTGTGTAGCAAGTTGGAGAGATTTGTTAGCTGATGAGAGCTGCTCCCTTAAGGTCTCTGCCTCTCTCTGAGCCACCTCTGCCCTCTGAAGGAAATGAAAAGGGGTGAAAGAAAAAGTACATTCAGTTTAACAACTGACAATTATTACAAGAACATTCATCAATTCATGCCTGACTGACTATAATTGATTTTCCTAAACACTCAACCTAATAAATGTTAGAAAAAAACATAGAATGTGATGGATTTTTATTTTAAACAGTACAAGGAAGAAATAATTGAGCGATTATGACAGTAATTTAACGCTAGGAGCAAGGAATCCCCTGCTGATACTAATGCTGCGGCCCACTGAATTTCCCAGACTGAATAAATACAAGTGGAAATGGAGTCTTTTTATTCAATTTCTTTCTATTCTCATAGACCAAGCAGATTTTATTGCAAAATTCCTCGTGGGAATAATTCTCATGGGCAAATGCTGACTTAAAAGATATTCTGACCATTCTCCCTAACATCCAGACAATGTTGTGGGTTGTCTTTCTTCAGTAATTATTTGCTAAAATGTGAATTGTGAAGTTTTGTTCTTTCAGCAGGTCTATTTATTCAACAATATTTAACCCCTCATCTGACAGTCTTGCGTAGATCGGTTACAGCAATTGACAGCATAAGCAGTATCAGGTAAACTCTTTGGAAGAGGGATTATCCTTTTTTGTTCTTTGTTTAAACAGAATCTAACACAACACAGGTCCTGGTCCATGACTGGGGCATTACTCCCACATAAATAAATATATATATATATATTTTTAAAGCCTAGGATTCAGCAGAAAGGATGTCCACACAGGAGTTGGGTAAAGTCTGGTGGAGCAGAAGTGACTTCAGAGGACTAATTCAGGGAAACAGTGCAGAAATCTGATTACATTTACAGCACATACCTTTTGGACTATTAAAGGGGGGGGGGGGAAGATACTTATCCATCTCGATTATCACCTCTTCCTTCTGGCTTCCCAAATTAAAATTTCATTTCCTTTCCAGAACAAAGCTATTAAAATTGCCTTCCATGTGCACTACCCACATTATTCGCTTTCAGAATCTGTTTTCTGGCTCAGGCTGGGCTCCAAAAGAAACTCAAGATTTTCACATTCCCTTTCAAGACTCTGCACCCTATTGCCTCCGCCTATATCTCTAGTCTGATCCGGTGTCTTTTTATTATCCCACCCCCCATCTCCTTTGCTATGCTAATAACCCTCTCCCTTCCTTTTCTTTTCCAGTCCCACCTTTGTGCCTTCTTTCACACTTCCCTTTACACCCAGGATAACCAGTTCCTTCCTTCTCTTCAATACATCGCTCCTGGAAATCTAATCTCTTTACAAACTGATAAAAAATTAACAAGACAAAGCCTATATTCATTGCCTTGGTCTCTCATAGTTCATCTGATCTCTGACTTTTTAAGCTATGGTCTACTCAGAGGAGAGACTGTGTTTTAATTTTTATCTTGTACAGCTTACAGCAAGCCATTAGCAATCAAATAATAATCTATGCTATTTTCTTGCAAACCTGTTTTAGGGAACGGTAGGAAGGAAAACTGGGCAAACAAGTCTGATTGTGGTAAATTATTTTCTCTCATTTGCATTAGACATATGTGAAAATATTTATCTAATAAATGCTAGTTAGCTACTGAAAACCAGAACAAGGGACTATACTGGTTTTTGCTTTTGAATCCAGGATTGTATAAGTAATGGGTTTTGCAGCCTTAAGCAATTCTACTGATGGCTTCCATTCACAGCAGCATTGTTTAGAGAATCTATTCACTTTGCATGCAAACAAACCACAAAGGATATTTCTAATAGATGTTACATCTGCATGTACAGCATGCTGTCAGCTGCCCTTCCTTTCTGCACAGCCTCCCTAGTCACTTTAGCACATCTGTTGTAATCTAATGAATAATATTAAACACGATTTCACAGTATCCATTGCTAAGAAGGATGAATCAACAAACTTCAGATGGTACAGCTTGAAAAATAAGGCCACATTTTATTTATTTATTTTTTAAATTGTATGCTCCTTATGGAAAGAAGTAAATATATCTACATTTGGAAGGCATTTTGTGTAATCTTGGAGGATGTTTCAATATACATTTAAATCCAAACATGGTAAAAGAATGTTAAGGTTGGAAAATCAAGCACTCAAAAATTAGGAAATGCCAGAAGTATGGTTTCCTTAACACGCTTCCCCCATGAAGTGCTTGTGCACTTTATGATAGTTTTTAGTTGCATAACAATATGCTATTGAGCTCAAATGTGCACATGGGTTGAACTAACACTCTGCTTCTTCCAGTAAAGCACTTTTTCTTATTTAACCGTCTGTAAGCAGCCATAGTTTTCTCTCGCTAGGTCCAGAATTAGGGGCATAAGAGAAAGTCTCTGCCCACAATTAAAGCATTCAGTGCCAAAGTGGCTCAGAGCAACCAAAAGTAACAATCGGAGGGAGAGATGGGCCCAGCCTCTGCAACTTCAGGTTAGAACATACTCAGTACAGGTGGCTGCTTCAAAAGAGCCACAGAACTCCAATAAGTCTTTGTAAGCAGGTGGGAGATAAGATTTTTAAGAGGATTATAACATGCCTAAACTTCTCTCTTCCTATACCCATACAAATAACAAATATCTTTGATACAGGCCATCCCTCCCTGCCAGATTTCAAGTCCCTGTTCCAAAATAGAGGTGTAAGAGCTTATCACGAAACAGCTCTAAAATATTTTAACACAGGAAAAATTCTATGTTGTGTTCGCAGAAATATGAGTGGTTTCTGCTGAGACTGCCTGCTTCAGGCAGACTCGAAACCATTCAGCATGGGAAAATTCAGCCTAACTGGTTAAAGCTGGGAAAAGTTATAAAAAAACCTAAAAACTTGGGCTTATTATGGAAAGGATCACACAGCTCCCAGTTTATTTGGCTTCACCAGCTGTGCCAAATAACTCTATAACAGTACAACCGGTGATCACCTTGTGTGGTTTCTCTCCTTTGAATTACCTAAATGATCAGTCCACTAAATAGGAAACCATAGAGAAAGACCGTTCCCATTCTCCATGCATCCAAAACAGCAGTAGTTCCAGATATCTTAAATCACACACCTTTTTTTTACTATAGTGTGTAAATATTTAATTGCTTAATAGCAAGGCCAAGTAGTGGGTCATGATCACTACATTGTCATAGATGTTTCTTAATTGAAATTTGTGACATACTCAATATAAATGACCAGTAGTATAAGTGAAAAAATAAAATAATCTTTTCCTTAGGAGCTTTAACAAGTGAATTGCATTTTCAGATTTACAAGCAACATATGTCTTACTATGGGGAGCAAATAGTACGAGGAACATGGGCATATTACCCCTGTATAGCTTTGTTGAGGGAATGGGCCTAGTTATGGCTATAACAATTTCTGGTAGTGTTTTCAATATGCCATTGCACATAGTATAGACCATCCCATAGCAACTATGAGGTTTTTTTAGAACATCTGATCAATTAAAGCAAGGTAGCAGAGCACTAAGCTTCAAAATTCTTCTAACATTTATACTATAAAAACTTCAACCATTTTGAAGCATTTGTCTGCATCAACCTTTACAGAATAGCAGCAAGCTATTGAAAATAAATTACATGAAAGCTCTCCAGGGCTTTGCCACCTATTTTTGCAGCAATGGAGAATTATATGAACAACATCAAACAGAAGAGCTTGGGTTGTCTTCAGTCTCCTCTTTGGGCTATTGTGCTTTACTTTCCACCTTGAATGGCTTCCAGATAAATGTATTTCCAACTGGAAACCAAGGTTTTACAGGAAACTCCTCTCTTAGTGTGATAATAACGTTAACTATTCTTTTCATTTATACAGCATTTTCCATGTAAGATCTCAATGGACTTTACTTCCTGTCTTACAGACACTGAAATTAAAATCACAGAAACAAATATCTGGACCCAAAACTCACTGTACCATAACATCTGTTGGAGTAAATGGGAGTGGTTCCATTTAAGTCAATGGAGCTATAGTATTTTATGTCAACTGAGACTCTAGCCCACTGCAAGCTGAAGAATCAAAAAGACAATCTAGATATTCTAATATTAGCTGCTTTAGCCTCAAAAAACACAGTGAAATTGCACCATTGTAATAGTGAATAAAAACCAGGAGCTCCTTCTTGGTGCTGCTTGCCATCAGTTAAAAAGCAAAATTTCCTAGTACACATACATCCTTTGCCTATATACTGTCATCTTAGTTGGTGATAAAGGAAAAACCACTCTCTATACTGGCCTGAACACATGCATATTTCTTGCTTAGCTGGAAATATAGATCTAAGCAAATTTCCAGCATGATCTGTTAGGACTAGGAGGAAGTTGCACTCAATAAAATGAAATAAAAACCCTGTGAAGAGTGTTTCTGCCAAGATTATTTCATTTTCTTTATACTTCTAGGGCAAAACAAAACTGTTATTTTTGCTAACACTTGCTGTGGCAAGTGCAGTGGTTTGTGAATTCGGGTAGTCTTTTGTTCCAACAATTTTTAAACCATTCATTTCTCCTCTACTGATCTTAAAATCCAATAAAAGAATTTTCATTAACTGCATAGTGGTAATCCAGTCTAGATCCTTTAACAAATTGCTATAAAGTTCAGTGAGCACTCTGAAAAGAACATTTCCTCTTCCCTCTTTCCATTATGACATAATTTTTTATATTTTGCACTAGTTTCTATTTAAAATGTGTGAAGGACAAATGCAGAAATTCTGTTAGCATCATGAGGAAGAAAAGGAGACCAGTTTAAAGATCCTGGCATTCCTGAAGCCTGGTAGACTTTAAGGCAATTGCATGATTGAGGACTAGGTGAGTTTTATGGCCTCCCACATCAGACCCATTATTGCATGACTTCCTACATCAGATAAGCAGGTTGTGTGATTTTGGGAATGGGGTATAGAAGTTCCTCAAACTGCAAATGTGCAATTGCCAACTGCCAGCACATGGACAGCCTCACAGGAGGAGCCCAAAGGGCTCTGCCCCAGGGGCAAATAAAACGTTTGCCTTGCCCTGCAGTGCACGTGTAAGACAGTGCGAA